CGGGTAGAGATACTTAATGCATGTTGGCAATGTACCAGGCAGAAGAGAAGATTCCTAAAACCGAGACTTAAAAGCGAGTTCTCATGATTCTGAAAACTGCTCTCAGGTTCGAAACTGCTCCAGCTAAAAATAGAAATCTCCACAGTCGTCACTTATCCAATACCATATAGTTGATTTTCCCAGTCTCTTTACAGTATTGTATCAGAACTCTGCATCGGAAATGACGTTGGGAAGTACCTATGATAGAGCTTGACCGGAAGAATCCAGGCGAGGAACCGGAGAATGCCCCCCGCTTCCTATTGCTATTTTCAGATACACCGGAATGCGAGACTTCGACGATTGGACAGCGTAGGACGGCGCTCTCCAGATAGTACAGCTGATACTATCAATGCAATGATATATCCGTGCCCCATGGCCGCCCCACAACCTCTGGTTGTGGGTGCTCCCACACCAAAAGTACAATTTTACTATCATCATCTATATATCAGAACTCAGGATGTAAATCGATAAAAAATCCGAGATCCTCCGTACTAGTAGGTTGATCGAGTACAGGAGATGGTTCCTGCTGGTTTTCCTGTTGTTTTTCCCGCCGCCAGTCCCGCTGTGCCTTCCTAATTGCCGCCTCCCGCTCCTTCTGACCACGCGCTTCGACGTAGCGCTTCGCCTCACTAGCATATAATGATCCGGTCTGGCTAAGTCCTGTTTTAACCTGGCGGCGACTCTTTTTGGTTTGCTGGCGTTGTGTGGCCGAAACGGACCCCTTATACGCCTCGATCTCTTCGACTGCCTTGATCAATGACTCCGTAGCTTGGCGAACGCGACGTTGGTATTTCCGACTAGAAACTAGGGCCTCAGGCGTATTTATGATCTTCTGTTGTCTCCGGCGTACCGTACGGATGGTATTTGGTGGAGATGTACTCGGTGTTGCCGTAATACTTGACGTTGGTGGCGTGCCATTAAATATCTGAAGCTCCTCTGCCTCTTGGTCAACCTGTTGCCGAAGGGTTGGTAAAATCTGCTTAGGATCCCATGGCCAAAGACCCCTCTCTTTAAAAGCGTGTCGAATCGTACGCGATTTGAAGGCGTTTTGGCGGATTTGGGGCATTTCTGTAAGGAATGAGGCCTTGTCCGCTGCGTCGAATCCCCACCGTGAGATATGCGTATTTGTCTGCCGGAAGTAGTGTTTCAACGCAAAAAACGGCTTCCCATCGAGCGGCTGAAGGAAATGGGTCGTATGCGGGGGAAATGGGAAAAGAATAATATCAACTTTTTCGCAGAATTCAATGAACTCATGGGTAAGATGCGAAGCGTGGTTATCCATTAAGAGCAGTCGTTTCCCCTTCTCAGCCCGGTGTCTTGTATACCGATGGAAATGCTGGATCCAATCGAAGGCAATAAGGTCGTTTGACCACCCAGACTTAGAGATATTGATACAGTAATCGTCTGGAATCTGGCCTTCGTACCATCGTTCAAGATGGTTCTCGCCCTTTAGGATAAAGTAGGGTGGAAGAACAAAACCATCAGCAGCGATACACTCGATATCCGTAACCGATTCGCCTGACTCCGTACTAGGACTGCCTCGTTTTGCCCCCGGTCGGAAACTGACTACTTTTTGGCGCTTCCCTTCACCAAGGCGGAAGCCACTTTCGTCGAAATTATATATATTCCGGGCCGCGATTCCATGTTCTTGAATCTGCTCCTGAAGGAGTTGAAACCAATGCTGTATATGTCCAAGATCCTCAGCACGTAGGCGGTCGTCTTTAACTGGTTTTTGGTCGATAAGCGGAAGGGTATGGCGCTTAATAATCTTGTATTTCCAGTTCTTGCTAACGTGGGGTGGTGGCTGGGTTGTATCGAGCGCGTTTCTTCGGAGCATAGAGTTGGCGCACGCTTCGATTTCTGTAGGCGTAGGAGGCGCTCCCCACTCACCAAGCTGGTGGATCCAAGCTAGGAGAGCCTTTTCTTGTAGCTGATCGAGTTTGGTCGCTTGTACGAACGGAGAACGGTTGGAATAGGATGTTTTCCCTTGAAGGCGACCTCGAAGGACGAACTGGCTGATTTGGAATTCACGCGCTAACGCTGAAACGTTAACCGATTTTCCTGCTTTTTTTTTGCTCTGTAGCCTTCTTGAGTGCTTTCTGTATAGTCTCTTCTGGATATTTGACGCGTTTAGGCATGTTTGGTGGTATAGATTTGAAGATGATGGTAAAATTGTACTTTTGGCGTGGGTTTTACTTTTGGTGTGGGAGCACCCACAACCTCTGGTTGTGGGGCGGCCATGGGGCACGGATAAATAGAACGTATGGTGTTGTAGAAAGGTGACACCACAGGAAGCAGATACTAACTTTCCGGGACCCTGTGGATGATCAATACCTTAGGAAGATAATTAGAAAACGCTTAAATTTTGTTATAAGCGTCTTACATAATATATGTTGATCTTCGAGTTGACTGCTGCTCAACTACTCCGTACTCCTCTTGCTCTACTGGTATACCATTCTCGATAAGGCTTCGAAGATGACCAGTATCGAATTCTCCGTTTGGCGGTAAATACTTCATGAAATGTTTACTTATTGTCTGAATGGTAGAGTTACTGTAACTCAGATAAGGATGGCAGATACCGGCCATGTCCTATAGATTTTAGAACTCTTTAGAACGTGTTTAAAATAGTTATTAGTTAAGCCTATCTTTTTCTACTGACATCGCTGTCTCTTGCGCGGGCTAAGTCCTTTCCAAGCATTTGAAGCCGTCTCTGCTGCAGCACGCCTAGGATGCTGTCTACGCACATCCCCAGACCTAGAAAGAGGATTTCGAGCATCGACTTGTGCAAATTTTTCAGCCATTATTGGGGTGCAGGAAGCATATACGCCCCTTGTAGCGAGAGCCATATTCCGTGCTTCGATCAGTTCTGTCGGGTCCTTTTCTTGCCCTATCTCGACCAAAAAATTGGTCACTGTGCCAAAATCACTGCAGGTTCTACAGAATTGGCTGATGCCGTCGACAGTCGATATCAGCAAGAAACTCTTTTAACGACGGAGGTTGCCAAGCAGATTGTGGAGGGGATCGAGCCAGCCCAATGTATTTTTCCAATTCAAATCTTTAGCATATTAAGAAATGGCTACAGAGCACGATAAATCTTAAGCTATGGAATTATACTTGTATATACAGGGCCTGGATTGCTTTGAAGTCGAAGTACCTAGGAATTTGCCCGTCACACAGGGATGCCCGCCACACAGGGAGGGAGGTTACTTAGCTTAAGTTAGCAATATCATCAATCCAAAGTTTTGTGTTGGACTCCGTAGATCGTCTACTCTTTTTTCGCCAACCCTGCGCGGTTTACCATAGATCAAATTCTCGAACTTAGGTCGGAGTGGTGCCACTGCAACACGATCGAAGCAATCTACTCGACTGTAACATAGAATGGACTTGTTAACCTGACTAACTGCGTACAAGATCACTTTATACTCCTTTAAACGCTAAACGATATAGTATGTAGTACAGTACAGCTAATCTATTTCGGAAAGCTACTAGACAAGATTGATGATGCCACAGTTATTCTGCTCCATCGTCTCACCGTCCATAATCCCATCGACATACGCTTCGCTAATGAGCTGATAAATTTCACCGCTTTGACGTCGAAGAACAAAGGGAACTTGCGCTCCTCTGATTAGTGCAATGAAGTCGCCACGCTTAACATGCTCGGAAGAGAGGACTAGGTTGCCTTCCCTAGTGATGAATGGAAGTCGCCCTAAGCTCTTTCCCATAATCTCTGAGTCTAGCTTAACATGCGCCGCACTGGCCCTGACCTCGAGCTGGGTAGCTTTGTTGGCCAAGAGCTGGTACACCTTACGTTTGATGTGGTGTTCCGTGATATACTTGATGCCATTCTGCAAGAGGTCTACCGCCCCAAAGAAACAGTCATCTCTAACTCTTGCCAGTCGTGTATTCTGATCATGCCCGACACCGCCGATTGAGGTGCTGGCTGCTGCACGTAGACGATCACTAAAAGTTGCGTAGCGTTTGTTGTCATAATACGTGAGGCGAAGTAGTTCAACAAGCCATTTTACTGGCCAAGAATCCGTCTCTTCAAGAGGCACTTCGTGGCTAGAAGTTCTGCCGGGAAAACGACCAACCTCACGTATTTCGTCATATATATGGCCTACCGCTGATAACCCCTCAATAACGTCCTCTTTCTTGATGATGGTAATTTCGGAAGGACCCGTTCCAGAAGCGCTAAACTGCGGGTCAAGTACGATATGATCATTTTCCACGTCTTGCAACATATCTGTCATAGATTGAGACCAGTCTGGAACCCAAGATGGTAAGCCGGATTGAGATTTGGGCATTTGACAGCACGAGAGCAATGATATATGACCTTGTTGAAGTAGAGCCGCCATGGTCGTCGTGTATATTTCCTTACAGGATTTTGTATAGTCCGGGAACACACCCAGATCTGCCAGTTCTTCTTGGTCTGCCGCCAGACTCAACAAAGCGAAAATTTTATCTCGAGGATCGGTTGATTCTAGGTGGTGTGGACCATGGTTCTGCAGATTGATACTTCCGACGCATGTTGTACGGAGGAGCGCTGCCAATGGGAATCTGCTATACCGATATATATTCCAAGACGATAGCATGACGGTTGGTCGGTGTTGAAATAAGAGTCGAATAACGTCGAGTTCATTACGCGTCAATGATAGCCGCTCGCGGGTGAATTTTGCCATGAGAATAAACCGCAAAGCACAATACGCATTAAAAGCAGCAGTGCATCTGCGCCGTGTGAGTCTCTTAGTCCCACAAATGAACTCAGCATTCTCTGAAAGAGTTATTTCTTGTAAAACCCATACACGACCCCACCATGGCCGAGTAAAGAGCTGTTTTATGCCAGCAAGCGGTAGTGGATTGTATGGATCATGCCGGCCACTGATGGAGTAGAAGAGGTTGCACACCTGAGTATATGCAATCGTTCGTACTTTGCCAGCTGGTGTCATCATTATGACATTTGATCGGTTTAGGTCACGGGCTCCTGGGAGGTTCGACGCTAGCTCCTGTCAGATTTCTTGAAAGGGTTCCGGTCCATTGTCCATACCGCAAGCTTCCGCTTGTGCTCCTAAAGAGTTCAGGTAGTCCATCACCGAATCGCTCTGATCATCTGCTGTACCAAGCCATGCAACGACTTTTTCCGCCTGTCGGTAGATATCTGCCATAAGTGCAACCTGCCAGCTCTTTTCCGCGTCATCCAACTGATTAATACAAAGGGAATCGATCCACATTATAATGTGTTCATTGGTAGGTCTAAGTGCCATCATCGCATCGTATAGGTTTTTGGTTACTAGAACTGGGGAGTTCTCCAGGAGTATCAAACGTGAATCGGCAGCAGCTCCCCAGACGTACGATAAGGCTGTAAACCTCGGTTTCGTATGAAGGCTGACGTGGAAGATATTGCAAGTGGGAATGAATTTGAGCTTGTCGTTGCCATCGTACGGTAAAAGTTTCAGGAGTCTGACTTCACCTCTGGAACGTTGTAATATTCGGTATTGGTATCGGTTTGTCATGATGCCGGGAGCTAAGCTGGGAAGGGACCAGCAGATTTCGCTATGTACTAAGAATTCTATTCAGAACGAAGGATTCGTCTCACGCCGACGGGCACTTGGCGAGGTTTGAAGCAATAAGAGACACTGCTGCTCGCGACGGAGAAAGTCGCCTTGGTCAACTGATACAGTACAGTATAGTGGCAAGACGAGATCGATGCGAATAATGATGAAGGATGGATGCATAAGGAGCTTATGACCTTTGCCGCACACACACGTTCAAGAGTAACAAAGACGGCACTAAAGCTAGTTAGGATTTGCTCGTATAAATGAGAAACGACTTGGAGTATCGGTTATATCTCGGTCAGTTGCGTTGTTGAGGAAATGGCAATACGGCACAGAGAGAGAGAGAGATTCATATGCCCGTCAGGCCCCTCGGCGAGGCCCATGTGGGGAACTACCTAAGCTGACTAATTACATACATTGGTGCCTTGTGGCCTTGTCCCCATTTTCTATCTTTGGTCTTCTGACTAGCTTCTATATCTGCGGCTAACATAGGGAAATATTATAACTGTGTTACGGGGATAAGATGGTCAGTTTGCTGAATGCCTCTGTTCTTCTAGGTTCTGATCTAGAGTGACGCTGCTCTTACTCGGGCACAGCGTCGGATCGGAGGGTTGCGACCATATAGTTAGTAGAAGGAAATGTATAACTAGGAAAGAAGGTGTAGGAGAGAAGGTGTAGAGGGATGTCATGTTCCTGGGTCCAGTCTTCCAGTATCCTGGATGAACTGTATCGTTGCCGTAACTACTTCCGTGTTCGGAGACCATCGTTTGATCGGGCCGTCCTTTGGTTCTAATTCGTACGCTCCAAGGAGGAAAGGCAGGCCTCTTGCTCGGGCTCCCGCCACTGCCTTCAGTTACTGTCTCTGTTCGTCCCATTCCGTGCATTCTAGTATAAAGTGGTGGACGCTCTCTGTTGCTCCGTATTCACAGTTACTACTTTCGGCCTACGCGATCTTGTAGAGGTAGCTGTTGAGGCGACAGTATCCTGATCTGGCTTGTACTAGTAGAGCTGCTTAGGCTCTCGATAGCTTGTCGTAGAGCTTTCTTGTATGCCTGCTCGGTAGTGCTTTGTCGAGCTCCTTCGCGAGACGTCCGGTCTTTTTAGCTAGTGTAATGACACGTGACCAACCCTCCGCGCTAATACCATTGGACCATAAAAGATCACAATGATCCCAAACAGGGGTCATTGGGGTTGGAAACCATATATACTAATTCTCTATGTTCTAGTCATGTGACCCCGTCACATGACTACAGGAGGCTTATGTCCTTACAGCGAAACAAGAGATGCGAACCCGCAAGCGGGTGTCGCTGAAAGAGAGCCTGGAGGAACGAAGCTAGAGTTCGCAGTCTTCGAATCTCCCTTAAAAGAGTACCCAAATTATATTCACAGAAGCATTATAAAAGGCTTATTTTTCCATTGTTCTAGGTTGGCTTTAAGATATAATGCTACGGCAGTTATGTGATAGGTTAAAGAGTTAACATGTTGTATACCATAAATTAACAAAGCAAGGAATGAATTCGCTATTATGGATACGATAATCCTACACAGAATGATGTGGTTTATATTCCTAATTCAATTGTTTTTAGAATAATAGCGACTTACCCAGCCCGGTTCGAATTTCACTACGACGACGAATCCCTCGAATTTATTCACAATACCTCTTAAGTCAAAGCACCCAGTTTCCGGTCACCCCAGTTTCCGGTCATCCCAGTTTCTGGCCACTACAAACAATCCATTTGATCCACGTATTGCCCTAGAGTTACACAAATAGAACAGCCACCATATATATTCCTATACGTCTAGTTCAAATACAGAGCATAAGTGCTCGAATCTAGATTTGCGTGCTCTGAAATCCTCTCCGCCTTTTCCGCAGCTTTCCGCTCCGCTTCTTTGGCCGCCTCCTACAACGCAATGATTTGCTCAACTGTAGCAAATCTTTCGTTCAAATCAGGCTGGACTCATTTCCTTTTCCTGGTAGTCGAACCGCCCAGATCTTGAATGGTTTTTTCAAGTCGTAGAACGTGTGCTTTAAGTGCAGCGATTTCGGTATTCTTCTCCGCCAGGGACTTGGCCAACTTCCCCTAGAATCCCCCGAAATCTCGCGATGATATTCCCTCAAACTTTTGCTTATATATGTCCTTTGGCCCCCTTTAGTATGCTATAGGTATACGGAATTAGTTCAGGGGTCACACGACTGGGCATCACGATATGAATTTCGTTCAATTACGAAACTATTTAATACTTTGGCTGGGTTAAAGGGCACTATTCCTGTTCTACGAAACCCTACACGTATGTTATGCGAATTTAGAGCCGTATTTCGAGATTTATAATATATTTCTATAAAATTATGCTTCTTAACTAGTGCAGAGTCATCAAGCGAAGATAGGCGGCTCAGTTCTTTATAATATCTTGATTTCAGGGGCGAAAAGCATGCAACATCTAAAGGCTGGAGGACATGGGAAGAATGGGCTGGCAAACATAAAATAAATACCTCACTATCTTTCGCCGACTTCATGAGCTAGATCTTAGCATGCGTACCGTGCCCGGCGCATACCAAAAAGCGCTATTCTCGGGAGTCTTCTTCTCCATTTTGGTTCAGGGGTTTGGCCTCCCGTAAGAACTTTTTCTCGAGCCATTATAAGCCAATTTCGTTGGATGTCTAGGCATTTTCTGAGGACGTATAATGCCAGTTCGGGATATCGCGAGAAGGGAACCACGTCGACTGCAGAGATTTGCCTTTAAGGATAATCAGGGGTATAATCGATCGGCCATCTATATATATACATTCTAGGACAGAGACCCATTCTCTATCTTTAGGAATCTTTAAGTATATCGTGTTCTTCCTCCTCTTTTGCTTCTCCTAGACTGGTACAATTACGCGGCCATTAATTCCGCACCCTAGGGCGATGCCATGCTCATTAAAATTCCACTGGTTATTGGTTTTAATGTTGTACCTTTCGATAATGCGTGTATAAGCCGAAAAGAACTCCGAAATAACATCTTTTGTGGCAGAATTTATTCTAGAAGCCTCGATCGTCCATCCGATAATCGTTTCTTACCTCAGGATTCCGGAGTAGAAACCCGTCGGTCCAATTTATGCCGCAGGGAGTGTTATCTCTATTTTCTTTCGCAATTAGTTCTGCCATTTAGCGAACCTAGGTGTACGAAGGGGCCCTCCCGCAAAGGTCTTCTTCCGTAATCCACTAGACCAGCCATTTTTCTTAATCTTTTGACAACTTTTACAACTTCTCGGCCCGTTTTTGATAGGATTCGGTGCCCTTTTAGATATGTTCTTAGAGAGTAGAGTACTTAACGCAATAAGCCTCTGCAAATTTGCGAATCGATAGGAATTCTCGATCTCAAAAAGCTTATATAGCTTCAGCAATTGCACTTTCATTTATAGGAGGCATACTGAAAAAGAATCTATCGTTATTGGATTTATTTGCGTTATTAAATTAGTCAGTCTCCCCCACCACCGGGCAGCCGGTAAGGTGTCGGTCGTGGTTCCCACCACTACCCGACGGGACTAGATCATCGCTACTGGAATCGCTGGGGATGACGGCATCAAACTGATCCGTCGCCCGAAGCTACTTATGGTAATGGGCATCCCGATTCACACACAGATTACAACCGGTAAAAGTGAGGGGAACACCGAATGGGCGAGACAGATGTCGAACCAAAACGCTGTCAAAATTGAACGAATCTCCTGGCTCTACAAGAAAGAGAAGCTGGCGGCTATCCGGAATGCTGGGTCACAGACGAAGGGATCAATTATTATCGAGGTGGCTACCGAAACTGACGTGACACGTCTTATCAAGGACGGCTTCCTATATGGCGCCCTATGGCTCCCAGCCAAACTATGGGACGTTACTCTCCGGGCGATCCAGTGCTTCCGCTGTTGGAAATGGGGCCACACGCAGTCCGTTTGTAACGCGGACAGCGACACCTGTGGGCGCTGCGCAAAACACCACCCCACAAGGGGATGTATAATACAAGACCTTCAAGAGGCAAGGTGCGCAGGGTGTAAGAAACCTGGGCACTTTGCCTGGATGACCAGAAGCTGCGCGGCATATAAATCCTTCGCAGCTGGCCAGCGAGCTACAGAAAACCGCCTCAATGAAGCTACCCTCGCCGTCCACCGGGGGCAAAACCAAAACCAAAACCAAAACCAAAACCAAAATGTCACAACCCACCAGTTCCGCCATGATGACGATGGATACATCGTCATTGGCAACACCTAGAAGCGGAGGAGGGCGGGACCTGGGAGGCCCTCAGGAATCACGGTGGCAGCCCGAGCCCCAGGGCAGCAGCGACTCCAGCTCTCGGCTAGTCAACCGGAAGACTTCATGTCCGGCATTAGTACTTCTACCTTTACGACACCTACCGGAAAGGATACAACCGGAGAGGACACGACATCTACCGGAAAGGACACAACCGGAGAGGACACGACATCTACCGGAAAGGACACAACCGGAGAGGACACGACACTTACCGGAAAGGACAATACCCCTAGTACTCAATGATAGGGACCGGCATCCTCCAATACAACTGCGGTAATGCGAACAACGACAAGGCTAGGGCTACCTTCGACTCGATTGACCCTACCCGGTTCCCTATACTTGCAATTCAGGAACCGATGGTCGCCGAAACCAAACCAACAGTCACCTATACACCAAAGAATTTTCGCCCAAGCCGACCTATATACTACGGTATACGGGTCGTCTTCTTTATCCACGATAAGATCCTTCTTACAGCTTGGGAATCAAAGCGAGCCTCCGACCACATCGAATGGATCCGCGTTATAACGCGTGACGGACCCCTCAACCTCGTTAACGTATATAATCCACCAGGGCACGTAGGCCAGCCACAGCTTGAGAAGTGGCCGGAGATCGCAGAAATTCTCTGCGAAATTGGCCAAGAGAACGTTATCCTCCTAGGGGACTTTAACTGCCATTACCCAGCCTGGGGTGGAACCGGAACCCTAAAGGAGCTAAAGGTAGACTACCTACTTCTCCAAACCGAGCAAGCTAACCTCCAGCTCCTCAACGAGCAAGGGGTAATAACATAGAAGCGGAACCAAAGCCAGTCGGTCATTGACCTAGCCTTTGCCTCGCCGGAGATCGCCTTACGGATCCTCCTCTACTACCTACGGCCGGAGTGGTCTACTACAAAGGACCACTTTCTAATCGAGATCTAACTGGATGCTAAGGTTTCCTCATACCAGACGAGCCCAAGGTTCATACTCAAGGATGCCCCGTAGGAAAAAATCCGGGAAGATGTCTCTAGCTCCTAGTGGTATGTGCCAGAACCCCATACTGCGATTGACAACCTTATTAGACTTCTTTACGGCACCTTGGACAAGCACTGTAAACGGGCGCGACCTTGTGACTGGTCTAGACCGGAGTAGTCACCATAGGCAGCAGAGTTCCTGGCTGGCGCCCGCCAGGCCCGACGCCGGCTCCAACGGACCCAGGACCCGGACGACGAACGAGACTGGAAATACCAAAGGAATGCCCTAAGGAGGAAGATGCGTAGTAACGGCCGGACGAGATAGAGAAAACTTATCTAGACACTTACTAAAGACGAGAATTACCCGGACTATATACACAACCGAGGGCTCTAGAGACTGAATAAGTGGAGCCAGAAGACCGCTGGGCAACCCGGTGGGCTTATAGCTATCCCACTACTTAGGCGCACGGAGAACGATCCCCCGACGGGAGACAACCAAGGGAAAGCAGAGATCCTTGCTATAAAGTTCTTCCCACGGAGCGGTGCCGCTGACCTCTAAGATATAACCAACGAACAGTTCCTACGATTCGATATCGGGCAAGAGGTTACCCCAGATGAGATCACCCGGATTATCCGCCGGCTACCGAACCAGAAGGCCCCCGGGCCTGATATGATCCCGAACGAGGTACTGAAGGCCCTCTCTGATATCCTAGCCGTAGACCTAGCCCGGACGGTCACCGCTCTCTTCCGAAGCGGGGAGCTGC